GTCGCCGCCGCCGGCAGCCGCCCAGGACCGCGCCTTCTCCCGCGCGAGCCCTCACCGCGCCGCCCTGGCTCGGTCCCCCAAGGCCACGGCTGCCCCTTCCCTCCCTGGGGCTTTTGTTTTTCCACAGGCCCCATTTATCACTACCAACCTGCCTGTCGCCCCACACCAACTGTTGCGAGTTCCGCGTCTCTGCTGCCTCCAACTTTGCGGTCGAAACTGCTCCAGCCGGGAGCCTGTGTAAGAAGCAAAAATAAGAATATGAGCCCGCAGAGATACCGAGACCTGAGGCTTGCAAACGGGTCTTTCTAAATTTTTAGGAGACAGCCAATTTTCATAAGCCCTGTAAAAAAAAAAAATGGGGATGAAAAGTTTTAAGTTAAAATAAGAGGTTTCTACAGTCAGGCTCATCACAGGTGAGAATCTCCAAACAGATTAAAAATTGCGAGAATGGATTTCGAAAGCAAGCTTAGGAGTACTTACAGCAGACTGTGGAGAAATGCCCTAATTTCGGGTTTCGGGGAAGGTCTCGGAAATAATTATTCCATCTCCTGGAATAATTAAACTACCTAGCATTGGGAGCTACCAGTCTACAAAAGGCTCTTAAAAATTGCTTGATTGGGGGGGAGAGGGGGTAGGAAAAGTTTGGGAGAACTAAAGGGGAAAGGGGAGTGGGAAGGTTTTTTAAAAAAAATCAAAAAAGAAAAGCATCCGGGAAACAAGACCCGAGCCTCAAGGCTCAGCCTCTTTCCCGCCTTTGGAATTTAAGGTCCTTTCATCCTGCTTGTAATATTTAAATTTAAAGACCAAGTCCTTAAATACTTAACCAATCTCATGGATGTATCACTTTACATTGAGGCAGAGTTGTCCTTTTTTAGAACCAAATACTTGTGGAATGAGGGAGTGGCATTTCTAATCCTAAAAGCTGATTGGGTAGGAGTGACTTAAATTGTTTGGGTGGAAGGCACCTTTGTCCCCTTACCCCCTTCTGAAAACCGGAGATCAAAAACCAGTTCCTTTAGGGGAAGGAGGATGGTGACTCACGCCTGTAATCCTAGCTACTCTGGAGGCTGAGATCTCCAGATTAAGGTTGGAAGCTAACCCACACAGAAAAGTACTGGAAATTTTCCATCAAAAAGCCAGAGTTTTTTTGGTTTTTTTGGAGCTGTGGCCCAAGTGGTAGAGTGCCAGTCTTGAGCAGAAAAAAACTAAGGGACAGTGCCTAGGCCCTGAGTTCAATCCCCAGCACTTGCATACAATAAATAAATAAACAATTCTCAGAAGTCGATACTCTTTCACTGGTGTACTGTCAGATGAACAACCAACCAAAAGTACTGAGTTCATGTGTACATAATATTATCTTGAGTGGTGGAGGAAAGGATGAATATGAGATAAAAGATTGTTATGAATAACAGTCCCTTAAATGTGATGGAAACATATCACCAACCTAAAACTTCCTTTATTCACCACTAGATGGTGGAATTGAGTCTTTGGTAACTCTTAAAAGATTTTTCTGTAGTATTTAGAAGAAATGTGGTTCATAAAAATTTATGTTTGTGCTGGTCCTAGGGCTTGAACTCAGGGTACTGTCTTTGAGCCTTTTTGCTCAAGATTAGAACTATACCACTTGAGCCACAGCTCCATTTCCCTTCCATTTTTTTTTTTTTTGTCCGTCGCGGGGCTTGAACTTTGGGCCTGGGCGCTGTCCCTCAGCTCTTCAGCTCAAGGCGAGCGCTCTACCACTTGAGCTACAGCGCCACTTCCGGTTTTCTGGTGGTTTATTGGAGATAGGAGTCTCACGGTCTCTCCTGCCCGGGTTGGCTTTGAAGCGCGATCCTCAGATCTCAGCCTCCTGAGTAGCTAGGATTACAGGCGTGAGCCACCAGCGCCCGGCCTTCCATTTTTTTTTTTGGGGGGGGGGGAAGGTGGAGGGAGTATATTGGAGATAAGAGTCTCATGGACTTTCTTGCCCCAGGCTGGCCTTGAATAGCCATCCTTAGATCTCAGCTTCCTGAGTAGCTAGAATTACTGGTATGAGCCACTGGCACCCAACTTTCACAAAGTTTTTAACTCTAAAATAAGTTGATAATGAATTTTGTTTTATTTTGTTTGTTGTTTTTTTTGGGGGGGGGAGGGTCCGGTCGTGGGGCCTGAACTCTGGGCCTGAGTGCTGTCCCTCAGCTCTTCAGCTCAAGGCTAGTGCTCTACCACTTGAGCCACATTGCCACTTCCGGCTTTTTTCTTTTGTGTACTGAGGAATCAAACCCAGGGCCTCGGGTATGCAAGGCAAGCGCTCTACCACTGAGCCAACTTCCCAGCCCGATGAATATGCTTTAAAACTACCCCACATAATTTAAGAACCATCAAATCAATGATAATATTTCCTCAGTATAATCTCTTGAAGAATCTCAGTCATACAGATTCAGGGACTTCTAGAAACTTCAGAGATCAATTCTAAATTGAGACATAAATTTTCTCACTTGAGCATGGAATTAGTCCAGACAAATAAGGTTAATTAAGGTAACATAGCTGCTAGGTAGAAGGCAGCAAAACCCAGAAGACAAATTCCCAATTCTCACTTAATGCTATTTCTACTAGTCCACTTTGAATCTCAACTTCTGCATCATTTAATTTAGAACCCAAATATTCTTCACTATTAACAACATCCTAGTTAAGAGACAGTTTCCTGGATCACAATAATAGTAAGTAGTGTTAGCTGCATACATACTGTAAGATTAACATCAGAATAACAATGCTATGAATTGAACATTGTTTGACCACATTTTCCGTTGTAGAAACGCAAAATTCATTTGCCCAGGGTCACACAGCTACCAACTGGCCTGACCACCCAACTTACCTAAGATCTCTCTGACTCCATAGCCCTCTAAATTGTTGAATCCCTCTACAGGACTATTAGTAGAGGATTCTTTAATTCTGTGTGAGATAATTCATACACAGATCTTATCTTAATCTGGGCACAGTTGTAGGCACTTGAAATGCACAGTAAACAATGAGGGGGTTTGTTTTGGTTTGTTTTGCCTTTTTAAGCCAGAGTTTCACTACACAGTCCAAGTTGTCTCTAATTCACAATCTTTCTGCTTTAGCCTCCTGAGTGCTGAGAATAAAATACGATTTCCAACTTCTGCTTTGGGCTGCCATGTGAGAAGGCCTTCATCTGTCAGTGCTTTCCCACTGCAGGAAAGTCAAACAGTGAAACACAGCAGTTAGGACAGGAGGATCCAAAGAGAACATGATTGAAACCTGGATCCATTCCTTCTTGGCTGTGTAGTTTGATCTATGATTTTTTCTGGTCATTAATTTCTGTAAGGTCCGCTCCTGGATGGCGAGCAGACTCCACCCTCCTCGCAGCAAAGTCTCCACCCAGTACCTGTGTTACCTAGGCAACTGGGATACCTGGAAGAGGTCACATCTGCATCCGCTGAGGTCACATCTGAATTTGATGTGGCCACACCTTTCTCCGCCCATACCCTAGATAAGGCCTAGCCCAGGCCCAGATCCCTCTGTTCTTTTCTAGCTCTCCCTGCTCTCTGCTCTCTCTCTCTCTGCTCTCTCTGCTCTCTCTCGCTGCTCTCTCGCTGCTCTTTTCTAGCTCTCTCTGCTCTCTCTCTGCTCTTTTCTAGCTCTTTCCTCTCTTTCCCAGCTCTCTCTCATTTCCAGGCCTTTCCCAGCCACGTGGAGTGCCAACCTTGCCTGGTTCCAGCAGGTCTACTGAATAAACCTACCCCTTCCCTGAATACCACGTGCGTGCTGCTGTTCTTACTCTGCTACCTCTTTTTAAAAA